ATCGAACCCAACAATTCTTCATCTTAATCAAACAACCAAACCCACAAAAAAAAAAAAAAAAGAAAATTTTTTGCCCCTGGATTCGAACAAACCCAGTTCTTGGGTTCTCGAAGGAACCCAATGCTCGGATTCAAGAAGAGACCCAGCGCCTGGGTGCAAACGAAACCCAGGTGCCTGGGTTCGAGAAGAATCCCAGCCCTGGGTTCACTGGGTTCGTCGAACCTAGGGCTGGGTTCAGCCAACACCAGCCCTGGGTTCGACAAACCAGGACCCACCCTGGGTTCGACGAACCCAGGACGCAGCCCTGGGTTTGTCGAACCCAGGGCTGGGTGGGTTCCGAGGGGAAGGAGGAAGAGAAAGGGGAAGGAGAAAGAGAAAGGGAAAGGGAAAGGAGAAAGAAAAAAAAATTTAAGTTTTATTTTTCATAATATTTTTTTATATTATTTTTTTTCCACATCATCACTTTTTTTTCCACATCATCACTTTTTATATTATTATATGACATGTCATCTGGTAACTGTTAAGTAACATGCCACGTCACACAATTTTTAACGGAAGGAGCAAATTGGGGTAAAAATGGTAAACAGTATGGACCAAATCAGAGATTTTTTTAGTTCAGAGACCAAATCGGGGGTCCGTACAATAGTTCAGGGACCAAAAGGGGTTTTAACCTATATATATATATCAAAATGAAAATTTTCAAAAGTTAAGGGGGGCGGCGGCTGCCTCCCCTGACACCCCCTCCCTCCGCAACTACGCCCACCACCTTTGAGAAGTGAAAAAGAAAGCCAAGAAGATCCGAAAGGGAGGGAGAATCGAGCGATTAGTTAAAAGCATTCGCGCGTTTTCGAACGTAACGACAAGTTACGTGGGCGTCTGTGCCTCTCATTCTCTGCTATTGCAAAATGTCTATAATTACCCTTAAATCCTCAGTTGTTTATTATAATAAGTTTGTTTTTTGCAAACAATTCATTGTTTAAGATTATCAGAGGCACCATTTCTCCGGTTCTTCTTTATGCTTCTTCCCTCTGAACTTTCAATTTCGTCAACTCAGAGAAAACCAAGGAAGAAATGAAGCGCTCCCACCATCTCAATATAATTGTTTTTATAAATTTAAGTTTATCTTAGATAAATTATTATTTTCTCATTTTTTGTATGGATGAAAATTATTCTTCAATTCTTAATTTGAAATAATTTACTTAAAAAACATAATATTAATATATGAAAATAGAGTTTTGTATATGAATATTAGTAATAACCTGTATCATAAAAAGCTATTTTGTGTACAATGGAGGTTTTGATAATAAAATTTACATTTTATCAAAAAAAGAAAACACACAAATTAACTAAGTTTTGTTATCTCTGGCAGCAAAGATTGATCAACTTAAACATGATCTCAATCAACAAAGTAAACAATTCTATTTACAGCAAAGAAAGGAGACTATAACAGCGTACTAATTACCAAGAAAAGAAAAGAAACGAAATCTACAATAGCATTCCACTTTAAACATCGAGCACATATATACAGCAATTGCTGGAATTTTTTTTTTTCCCAGCAAACATAGGGGAACCTTGAAATATATTAACAACACAGATCGAATAAACTCAAAAAACAAGCATCACCTATGAATTTTACTAGGGGGACCACCGGGTACGTATGTGCAATTACATGGCCCTGAAGGCGAGCCAGGATCTCTTCCTTGCGAGACCGGTCTGCTACAATCCCCATTCAAGATTTGGATGGCAATCATCAAGATGATCAGAAGCACCACGTTAACTGTCATCCTTATGGTTCTCTCCATTTTCATTTTTGTCAACTCAACTAAAACTTTGGTGCTTGGCTAGGTATACATGCATATATATATATAGAGAGAGAGAGAGAGAGAGGGCTGGAAGAAGTTTAAATCAACTCAAATTTGTAATGGTCGCGAGGATAGGCTCTCGCGCGATACTAGCTCGAGGCGATCAATTAATTTACATTCGCGCGGCAATTTATCCCGTCTCGGTTCTGACAGCTAGAGACCGTCACAAAGTTGGGTACGATTATTGTCACGTAATCTTTTTTAAAAAATAAAAAGGAAAAATCAGGATGATTTTATATTAAAAATATAATGATATATAATAATAATTTTATAA